CAGACCTTGGTTTTGGGGGGTGGAGAATGCAACATTTCCAGCCAAGCTTTCTGTGAGATCCTTCTCTCAGGAAAACTTTGCACCTGGAAAGTGTCCTGAATTCCTTGGTTACAATCAAATGGGAGCACTGGGAAGGGTTCATTGCCAAGATAACAAATTATTGGAATTAGGTTTTGAAACTCTACAACAACTTTTCCTCTGAGGAGCTCAGAGCCTGAATTTAGACAGAAAAACTCCAGCATCACAGCTGGCTGATAAATATTTCTCTCACTTCAGAATCAAGGAAGCCGCGTCATAAAGCCATCCTGTGTGACCCTGAACCAAAGATCTTTGCAAAAGTTCATAAAATAAAAAACTCTGTGTGGTTTGTGAAGAGATTTAAATTATTTACTCCAAAAATACTCTGTGTGGTTTGTGAAGATATTTAAATTAATTACTCCAAAAAATCAAGTTTCAAACATGTCCCAGCAAACAGAAACAATTTTATTTGAAATAAAGGGTAGATTTAAATTGGAATTTAGGAAGGAATTATTCCTTGTGAGGGTGGTGAAGCTCTGGCACAGGGTGCCCAGAGAAGCTGTGGCTTCCCCATCCCTGGAAGTGTCCAAGGCCAGGTTGGACAGGGCTTGGAGCATCCTGGGATAATCCCTGCCCATGGCATGGGATTGGAACTGGGTGATCTTGAAGTTCTTTCCAACTCAAACCATCCTGTTATCCCATGAAATATTACTCATCCATGAATAAGGGAGAACTATGAAGGATGCCACAGTTCCCACCCCACCTTCATCTTCATAATTCACCAAAAATGGGCTTTGGAACAGAACTTCCATCTGCATGTTGGGAAAAAAAAAAGCAGCAGAATTGTTCCCCAGAGCAGCCCAGGGGATTGGACAACAGATTCCAAAGCTGCCTTCCAACCCCATGTATAATTCCAGATCAGGATCCATACTGGGAGGCAACTCCTTTTATTTCTGCTTTACCCCCAGAACATCTCTCACTGCACCTCAGCTGCTGTCACATCCAGCTGGATATCTTTCCAAACATCAGCAAGAGCTTCCATTCTGCCTTGGATACCTGTGCTGGTTCCAAGTCCTTCCCAGTTTGTTTGCAAAGGGGATGGCAGGGTTGCCATAGGGAGCAGGTGTTTGCAAATCCATAACCATGGCCTGGTGACACAGCCCTGCCCTTGAGGGCCTGAGTCACATTGACACAGCCTTGAAGTCAAAGATAATCTTCTTATATAACCACGGGAGCCCTTCTCTGAGTGAAGGAAGCCATCCAGATTTGTTTTTAAAATCAGTTTTGAAAAGATCCTCCTGGATTTTACAAGCGCATGTTTCTGCTTCCTGGTCCAGGCTCACGCACAGCTCTGCTTGCAAACTGGGATGCTCACTCTGAGTAAAACTGTCCAGTTTTTTGTTTATTTTCCAGGAAAGTAAGGTGACACTGCATGGACAGGCTGGGAGAGCTGGGGGTGTTCACCTCAACAAGAGAAGATTCCAGGGAAAAGAGCTCCTGGTGCCTAAAGGGGCTTCAAGAGAGCTGGACAGGGATTTTGGAAAAGGGATGGAGGGACAGGACTCAGGGAATGGCTTCCCACTGCCAGAGGACAGGGTTAGATGGATATTGGGAAGGAATTCTTCCCTGTGAGGTTGCCCAGAGAAGCTGTGGCTGCCCAACCTTGGAAGTGTCCAAGGCCAGGTTGGACAGGGCTTGGAGCAACCTGGGATAGTGGAATGTGTCCCTGTCCCAGGGAATTAAAGGGATTAACTTCCAGGTGGAACAACTCAAGCACTGCTGAAATTCAGACTTCACATTCTCAGGAGCAGCAGCAAAGGGGATTTTTATGCAGGGACATAAAACCTTGGTGCCTCCTCCTCAGGATGTCACTGAAGGGTTCTGCAATCCCCAGCAGGAAATCACAACTGCCTTGGCCTCTTGGAACACCTCCTCCAAGGAAGAATTAGCAAACACACTGGAGGATTGGAAGCACAACACAGATCCCTGTGTGAAACATTCTGGCGGGGCTGTTTGCTGATTCCCACATTACTGAGCTTTATCCTGCAGTCACCGAGCTGGATTTTACCTGGAGGGCTTCCAAGAGGGAATTCACCTGCTTTTGCCTCTAGGGACAGGGAAAAAAACCAAAATATATTCAGAGAAATATTGTAGGGAGCTTAGCTCTGTGTACAGCAAGGTTGTGTTTATCCAGAGTGCTGCCTGAATCCTACTGCTCCCAAGGGAATCTGTTTAGACAGATCCAGGCCCTTGGGAAGGTGTCTCAGGCTGGGAGCTGAAGCAACAAACCAAAGCCAGGTTGTTCTACAAGAATTTGTGCCTGAGCTGAGCTGGGAGGAAAACACAGATCACTTTATTAATTCCCAATAACAAAAAAATTAGGTGGCAACTCATCCCAGCTCCATACAAGAGTCAGGAAGGTGTGGGGTGGGTGTCTGCTCCAAAGCCAGTCTCCACTGAGCAAGCAAAGCCCTGCCTCATTTCCTCAGACAGATTTTGGACAAGTTATCCATCTCTCCCTGAAGTTCTCCTTGACTTTTGTCTGAAACATGAACCCTTGTCCTCTCCAAGTATTTCAAAAAATGTCAAGAAACAACTGAGCCAAACTCTTCCAAAGATTCACCATGACAGGACAAGAGACAAACCCAAAAGGTTGGGAGAGCTTGGGAGAAAAAAAAGGAGCAAAAGACTCATTCTTAAACAAATCCAGGGAAACTTTCAGGGACAGCTTTGAGCAACCCCCAGGAATGAGGAGGATCAGAAAAAACAGATGGCCCTGGAGGTCAACTGGATGAGGAGGGAATTAAATTTCAGCAAAAATTAACAAAAAAAATTCTTCTGTGGCTGTTGGGGGAAAATAAATAATGAGAGACATTTCCAGAAGCAGGAAGTTGAGGACAGCTTCACACCAGGTGGAACAGAGCTAATATATTAATCGATATATTAATTTATATCAGAAAAGATACCAACCACAGAGAGGTTCCGGTTGATGTCCAACCACAAAACATCACCCCGTGCTTGGAGAGCTCCACTTCACTCCAGGGGGAGCGGCTCCAAAGCCTCACCCACAGAGATTTTCTGCCTTTCAGACCAGATCTCCCCCACAGCCATGATCTCTGCAGGGAACAGCTGGAATGTGGGAAACACGCTGCCAAACTGGCTGGAGATCAAACGGATGAAGCATTCATGGCCAATGAAGGGAGGGGAGGATCAGCTCCTCCACGTGCGGCTCCTCAAAGCGATGACGGAGCCGCTCCGGCTCAGCCACCTGAGAGGTGCCTGCAATCAGCTGTGCCTGATCATTTTTGGAGGGTGTGGACCTCAAAAAAATCTCAGTGATTCAAGGGAGTCATAAATGGGAGGGACAAAGGGCAGAGGAAATTGAAACAAGGAAGGAAACTGAAAACAACTTCACCGCTTACCCCAAATGAAATCGCGGGGCAAGTGTTGAGATTTCCTGGTTTTATCCCAGGTGGCACCTCTGGGGTCAACCCGCTTGGCATCAGGATCTGTGACTTTGGCAGAGCTGGAGAAGTCCCCACCAAGGAGCTTTCAGAGTTTCATGGAATCATGGAATGGTTTGGGTTGAAAGGAGCCTTCAAGATCATCTCATTCCAACCCCAGCAATGGGCAGGAACACCTTCCACTACCCCAGGCTGATCCAAGCCCTGTCCAACCTGGCCTTGGACACTTCCAGGGATTCCAGCTTATGTGGCCAACCTGTGCCAGAGCTTCATCATCCTCTCAGGGAAGAATTTCTTCCCAGTGTGTGTTCCTTGTAGAATTCCTAGAAGTGATGGTCTTTGTGTTCCAGTGATCCCACTGGAATAATTATTTTTAGGTAGCTCAGGTTGGAAAGGCAACCTCAGAATGTTCCTAACCCAAGTTCCTGATCCAAGCTCCCAATTCTGAGGTCAGCCCAGGTTTCCCAGGACTTCATCCATCTAGGCCATGAAATCTTCGCAAGGATGGGAATTTTGCCACCTCTCTTGGAAATCACATCTGCCACATGGAAGAGTTTGTATCACATTTGGATTGGTTATCCCAAATGTCAGGAGCAGGGTGATAATTGGAGGAGGATATTTTTGCTGGACCTTGGAAAGGGGATTGTAGGAAAGTGCAGAACCACAGCAAGAGAGATCAAAATGTAGGAGCCTGGAGCAATACACAAGAAATTCAGGGAAAATTCAGTAAAGATAGATTTGTACAGTTAAGATAGATTTTTATTCCCAGTAAAGATAGATTTGTACAAGGAGAGTTGATGGAAGAAATGCTGATGGAAAGTCACTTCCAGTGAGGGATAATGGGAAATGTCTCATCCATCTGCTGTGTGACTGACCCCAAAACCCAACTGTGTTAACTCCCTGAAAGAGGGAGTCTGGAAATGGAAAAAAAAAAAAAAAGGGAAAATAAGATGTGATTACAACCATTTTAACACAAGATTCTTTTTATTCTACTCAAAAGGGTACAGAGAACATGAGATTTTAACCTCCCTGGAACAGATCATTGGCATGGCAAGTTCAGTCTCCTGTCTCATATTTTGGACACAGAAATGTCTCCTTAATTTTTTTTGGGTACAAAGAAGGAGATCTAGGAAGAACAGCAGAAAATGATGGGGCAGAGAGGACCTGCTCTAAGGAGATAGGGAAGGCTCTTTTCAAGGTTTTTTTGCCTTAAATATACTTCATACATTTTAATTTTTTACTTCAAACCCAACCACACCATCGCAACAAAGAAACTCCATAGTTAATTTTGGGGGGAGTTGTTGGAAAATCAATTTAAAAAATTGAGTTGGGCCTTCCTGTGTTCTGCTTCTCTCTTAGTTGTGGGGAAAGTGTGGATATTAGAAAACAAA